GCTGAGGGGGCCGCGCTGAGGGGGCTGTGGGGAAGCGGCCCTGAGGGAGAGGCTGCGGGCACCCTGAGGTGCGGCCGCTGGGGGGAGGAAGCGAGCTGTGCGGCTGTGTGGTCGCGAGTACCGCGCGCCGGGTAAGCCTTTACTCTTGTTTTCATGCTTTCATCACGAGGGGGTTGTTTCAACGTACGCTTGCATCCATGAATGCCATTAATTGTCTCTGTGGCCCCGCCTGCCAACCTTCTCCCGCGTTGGCTCTGCTGGTTGAGGTGACCTGGGGAGGCAAATGCTAGGCAGAGGTCATGGCTGGCTGTGAAGGGTTGGTCATCAGGGAAGCCTTCATCCTCCTCACGAGAGGTGGACAGGCTGGTGCTGCTGGCTGTTTTGCTGCGAGCAGCTGGACTTGTTCCCCTGTCTCCTCAAATCTGGTTACCTGCCTCCCCTTCGTCCATCTTGTGTCATCTCCTCACAGGTATTTTTCATTCCTCTGATTCTTTTTTCTTTTTTTTCCTGGTTTTCTTGGAAAAACACAAACCTTTCCAAACGTACTATGGCCAAATTGTTGTCAAAGTAGTATGGTGTTGATCTGGCAGTAAGTTTTTGCATACTGTGGTGATTGCTTGCTCAGACTAGAAATGTTTCCATCTAGAGGTAAATATTTTCTATTAAAGTGTTCATTTTTATGTCACGTTATCACACCTTGGGAATGTGTCAAATTTTAAATGGGGCAAAGTTATTGTTTTAATCTCATTCTGGGTAAGGGATTTACTCTGTTGTGGAATATTATGGCTTTTCGAAGAAAAACTTGTTTGGTCTTTCTGTCTCTGTCTTACTCTTTGCTCCACCTGAGTTAATAAAAAACACCAGGAATCTTATTTTCTGACTTCATTTATGGTGAAAAAATGTAACAGGTACATCATCAGGACTGCAGTAAACCTTGAAACAAAGAAACTAGGTTAAATGTTAAAACTTTGATACAAATAACTATTAATTTCTAATTAATGATTTGTCCTAATCACCTTAAATGCTGCGCTGACTCCCCTAAAGGCTGAGGCTTACACTTCACAGACAAAATTCTGCATGAGAACTTGAAATATGAAGATATCTTGAAGTTGTATGAATTTATTGGTGATTAAGAGCTGAGGAAAGATCAACTATTTTCCTCTCTAAATGATAGTTCAGAATTCATGCTAAGACTTAAATCTATGTGTACAGATTGTATAAAGCATTGCCATTTGCCTTGTGGGTTGTTGCTTTTTCTTTTTGTCTTCTAATTATCTGTCAATGCATCTGTTTCTGTGTTGTTCTATTGTTTTTTCTTTTTAATACCAGACAGGCTATTTACTATGCTAAGAGTCCCTACTGTTTCACTTTACCCAAAGACCAGCTATTGGACCAATGAGGGGTAAACAACTGAGACCTCAGGATATGCTTTTCACCCGGACTTAATTATTCTCTACTACTACAGCTGCATTCTTCAGTGCTGCTGCTATGGATTGGTTATAAGGAATAACAATGTTCTACCAGTAGTCAACACTGTGTGTGGATGAATTCTCCTGTGTGTAAATACAGGTCACTTAGCAGTTGACAACGTATGATTTTATGTGTAAATGAATGACTGTTGAGCTGCCCTAACTTTATGCTGATGATTCAAAGCAATCTGTAGCTGAAGACTGGCAACTCATAGTGTATTGCATTGTGTGTGAAACATGGCTGAAACCAGTTGCTGACATAGGTACATAGTCAAGGTTATTATAGGAGAAAGGACAGAAATTTGCTGCCATAAGACTTACAATGTCAACTTTTGCCAACTGGTTTTTTCTAAATCTTTGATTGGGAAGGCTCCTCTTCTTCTCTCATGTACTGCTTTTTAGAATACTTGTTTTTACTCTGGATTTTGTTTCTGCATTTCCTGGCAGCTAGAAGAACTCAGAAGACTTGATCCAGATTCAGGCTGTAAAATCCTGCCTTTGGAGTATAAAAATAAAAGAAGTAAACTGAGGGAAACAACAATAAAACTGATCTCTCACAATTTGAATTGCAGATGCTAATTTAAAAAAAAAAAAAAAAGCTCAGAGAAGAAAAAGAAAACCTGGAGGCTTGATTTAACTGCTGCCTTAACCTCTCACTGTGTTTTGCACAGCTGTAAGCTCTGAAACTCTTCAGAATAATTTGTCAGTGCTATATAATGAACAGTTCATGTAATTGTAGTGGTCCTTGCAGGTAGCTGCTTCCGTCCTTGGAGATCATTTCTTCTCTCATTACTGAGGCTTATGCTACAATGAAGATCCAAAGATTCGTTCATTGGTGCTTTGCACAATTAATAATGGTGAATGTTCTAATATTGTAGTTTCTTTTCTGTAATTTACACCTTACCATTCAAAGGTCCTAATCTTGGAAACTCATGGTACTATTTTTATTTTAGGAATTATGTGTCTCCATAGATTGTTGTGATTTTAGCAGCAGTAAGTTCTTGGCTTTATGAGAGAATTAATCTAAAAAAATGTCATTTCGCATTTCAGTGAATAAGTTCAGTATTAATGTTCTGTGAAGACTTATTTGGAAGGGTTGGTGGGGTTTTTTTTCTGAATATGACTCTAAGAGGTACATTTGCAAACAGAGGCTTTACTTTGCTCCCTGTCTTGAGGTGAATTGATGTAGAGCAGGAAGTTGACTTTAGTACTACTTGTTGTCCACTGCTCTTTTTGCCAGAATTCTGGAGTAGTAAAAAAAATAAATTAAAATAAAAAAATTACTGTGAACATTGAATATGTGGAATATGGCAATTAGAGTTTAGCATAATTTTTATTTTTTATTTTATTTTTTATTTTTATAACATTTTACTTACTGGAGTGAGGGATAAAGCAAAAAAATATTTTGTGATCCTGGTTGGCTATTTTATTTTGTTTTCTTTTATTGACTGATTCTGCTTTGAGGACATTTGCTATAAATTCCACTGAAGCTGCCCTCCTTGAGCACTTCAAGTAAATAGATACTGATAGACTTGTCCAGGCTATATAGCGAGTTGTAGAGAATAAGCTTTGTTATCAGTCTTTCCCCTGTGTTTCCAGAGTTCCTGGTACTCAGCAATACCTCAGTCGGAAACCTGGCTTAACTGGCTGCTTAAGACCAAAGGCCTGGAAAACATAACTATCTGGTTAAGTTTTCTCCGGTGTAGCCATGTATCTTGCTTTAAGTAATGCATTTTCTGCAACTTATTTTATTCTAGAATCCATCCAGCCTGGTGTGTGTGGTTTTTGTGTTTAACTTGAAGGAATTGGTATGTACCTGGACAAGGAAATTCATGAAGTGTTTTGTGTTTTTTTTTCTCAATTTTAAAAGACCTCATCAAGTCGAAAGTACTTTGATGACATAAGTAAAAGAAAGGATGAGTTAGGGAATTGGGGTGGATGAAGACATTTCTTTCATATGAAGAATGCCAATAATTTATTGAAAGCTAGGAGCATTACTTGTGCTTTGACTAGAAAGAAGTGAGTTCACAGTGTCACTCTGCTAGAAGTGTACGAACTCCCATTATAAATAACATTCTTCCTAAGGAAAGAAGAGCAGGCACAGAGCAGAAAGCATCAAGCTTTCTAGCTTCTTATCAAGCTTCTTAGCTAGGTGGTGGAGGGCAAGCTTTGTCCCACTTTGCTCTGAGTGGCCTCGCCACAAGCACTGCATGCAGGTTTGGGCATCACAATATAAGAGGGATGTAAAACTATCAAAGAGCATCCACAGAAGGGCAGCAGAGATGGGGAAGAGGCTGAGAACAAGATGTGTGAGGAGCTGCTGAAGTCCCTTGGTTTGTTCAGTCCAGAGCAGTGGAACTAAGGGGAGGCTTCATGGTGGCTGCAGCTCCTTATGGGGAGCAGAGGGGCAGCGCTGAGCTCTGCTCTGTATGACAGCAGCAGGACCCGAGGGAACGGCATGGAGCTGTGTCAGGGGACGGGCAGCTGGGGGTCAGGGAGAGGTTCTGCACCTGAGAATGGTGAGTGCGGCCCTGAGTTCAAGAACATTTGGACAGTGCTCTCAGATATAGAGTTTGATTTTTGAGTGTGCTGTGTGAAGCCAGGAGATGGTCCCTATGGGTCCTTTCCAATTTGGAAGACTCAATGATTCAATTCTGTAATTCTGTGAAAGTGCCTTAAGAATGCTTAGATGCTGTTGTTGTCAGACATTTTAATTGTAAGAGAAGAATCTGACAAGGGATTCCTGATAGTATAAGCAGGTGGTGTAATTGTTCTTTTTCACTATTGTATGGGAGCTGCTGAGTCACGGCCTGAACCTCTGATTGATCACCTGAGGTGAGCCATGAGTCAGCCACAGGAGCACAGGTGAAGGCAATTCACCTGTGCTGCCGGATGGGGTGGAGCCTGGCTCCTCCTAGACCCATTTAAGAGCTGGCTACCAGTGGGGAAGGATCTCTTCTGGAGATCTGCTCTGCTGGAGTTTTGTAAGTGAGCCCAGGATAGGGGTAAGCCTTCTATTTATTCTCTTTTGTTATCATAGTCTGCCTTGCCTAACTCTCTTGTTTATTTTGTGATTATAACATCCTAATATTCTTTGATTATGCAACTATGAATATGGTCTAGAGAAGCCAATATTGTTGGGCTGCAATTGTCAAGAATTTTCACTACTATGGTTACTGTGTAAGACGAAGTAATGGTCAATAATGTAAAATGAAGGTGCCTGACTGAAATAGAAGCAAAGAAAGTGGAAATGTAGTCTTGTTTTTAGAACTTCTCATAAAAGTTAAAATGAAAAGAATTTTAAGTTTATGCAAAAAAAAAAAAAAAAAAGTCAAAATTGCGGAGCGGTCAGAGCAGATTTCTGTTTGTGTAAGACTTCAGGCTTTCTGTCGGCTTTCTTTGTTCAGATCTCCAAAACTGTAGACCAGATCTTGGTCAGGTTGGGCAGGGCTGTTTTGTTCAGAATAGTTTTCCTCTGAACATCTGTGCTGCAGCTGCGGCTCAGTGCCATTGGTCTCAGCAAAGACGTAGCCAAACCATGGATGAGAGAATAGCTTTAGTTCTAAATCTGATGAAAAAGTGATTATGGTTTTTAAATACCTCGCCACAAGAGAAATTTGCAATTTGTTGTCACAGTCTCTTCTGGCAAGTGTTATAGATTTCTACTACTCGTACAAAATGTGTTCTTTCTCAATGTCTAGGGTGGTGAAATGAATGACTTTGCTTCAATAAGAGCTACTGGCTCCATACTCCAATTGAGGTGCAAGTCAAAATTAATGAAACAACTCTTCGTGCTTAAGTTTGGCATTAAAGGCAAAAGTTACAAAAATAGGATTATTTTTTTTCCTGAAACCTGTTAGCAGCCATCAGTAGTAATGGGACTTTCTTAATTAATAAAAGGTTCCAGGTAACCTATGAGCCAGACTGGAGCTGCTAGATCAGCATTGCCCATTTTCTGACCTGTACTCCTAGGAAATTCATGCGTTCTTTTTTTGTTTGTTTTTAAAAAAGAGGGCAAGAGGATGTGTAAAACAGTGCTCTCACTTCCTGACTCAGCCCTAGGAGACATTTTTTTTGCTGGTGTCAGCTAAAACGTAAGGTTAAATTGTACAAGAAAGCAGCGGTAGATAATCTTTCCAATGTGTATTTCAAGGACTCACCTCCTAAAAGAGGGAACTTCAAATCCAGAGAGGAAGGAGTGGAATTTTCTTTGAAACAAGCGAGCTATTCTGCTGTGGGTGTTCAGTGCTTTTCTCTGCAGAGCTGTCCTGTGGGATGGCACGTTAAGGCACCAGCAGAGAGAGCCATTGTTTCAAGGATGTGTAAAAGCTCTATGGAACGCTATGAATTGCTGTCAGGCCACAACACTGGATTCTGTGTTACTGCAAAAGCTCATGTTACTTTTCAGGCAGAAAAAAAAATTTTTTAAGGAAGGACCTTCTCTCCCCACCCACAAATATTTGGACAACGTTCCATAAGGATCACCTAACAGTCAGAATGATGTACTTGGTGCTTCTGCTTTTTTAACCATCTTGCAGGGTACAGCCTGCAAGAATGACTTGGCATATATGCAGAGCTTTTTGTCTTAAAGAGTCGGAGAAGTCTCATTTCCCTTGGGATGTTGGGCAGAAAAGGACTGAGGGAAATGTGAATTCCAACAAAATACGCCTGTATGAACCTCGTAACTTATGTGAAACATAGTGGAGATCAAATCCAATGTATCAGTATGAACAGTTCTTTCTAAAGGCGTTAGTGCTGTGAGGCTTAGAACATTGTCAGCTCCACTGAAAATGCTGCATCTTTAGTGTGGGAGAGTTGTGTTGTTCTGTTCTGAGCTTCCTTCTGAGAGAGGACACAAGTCTTGTTCTGCTTGTAAGGATGATAATCCAAGCTCAAGAAGGAACACAGCATTCCCAGCTGTTCTCTTCCCTGTGACTATTTGTAAAGCTAAAGCAGGACACGTGTAGCTGCTTGGCATCTGCTTGGCCTTTGGAGAGAAAAAAAAAAAAAAAAAGGACTTCAGCATTGGAACAAACTTGAACAGGAAGATTGATTGAAGCTGCAGTTTCACACCTTGCAGCATGCTGGAAGCTTCCTAAACACTGGAACAATTGAGGATGATCTTAGTTGGAGGACGATCTCTTACCTTGCCAAACTTTTGTAGTGTGGGGGTAATGAAATCTGAAACCAGGCGAGTTTTGCATAGTTCTGAATTTCATCACAAATCGCATCTTGCACTTCCCAATTCTTGCCTGGGGGAGAAAAACTCTGCCTCCAGAAAGGAGGCAACGCCTGCATTGTTCCCCTGTGCTGGCTGATTATACTGACTTAATCATAATTGAGGAAGGAGTCAGATACCAGCTTTGTATGTGATACTGGCATGTAGAGCCCTGTACAATCTAAGGCTGGTCCTGTTCTGATGAGACAGCAAGAAGAAAGTAGTGATGGTAGTATGAAAAAAAGCTTTGCTGATATCTCTTTTGTTTGTCTCTTAAAAATTGTGAAGTGCAGATGGAAGAACAAGGAAAGCACCTTTTGGCAAATAAACACCTTTAAATACTCAAGAAATATAGAAATAGCTTGACTTCAAGCATCAAGAAACTACACTATATGCTAAGAAAAGTTGAACTTATGTGGTTCAGACTACAGAATAAAAATATCTAGAGGTAGATGTTCTTTAAATGAGATTGTTTTGTTCCAAGGACAGCCAGAACACAAAAAAGGAAACTTCCCAAGATTGCTTTTAGTTTTTGTGTTTTGTTTTTTGTTTGTTTGTTTTGCATTTGTTTGAGCCTTCAGGAGCTCCTAAGCTGGAATGAATTTTCACTAATATATTTACAGATTTAATTCTTGTTATTTCATACTGTGGTAAGTTTAAGGGCTTGATGTCACAGGGCTAAACAGGTACAGAACGAATCAGGAGCACAGTCAAGGAATGAATGCTTGCTGCTCTGGATGATATTAAGGTATTACTCTGCTTTCTGCTTTTCCCACTGCTTTGCAGCTTTCCTTTTCCATTGCCAGAAAAGTAAGTCTCAAAAATAAGGGGAAAGAATTATAATTGCCTCGTTCTGCTTCTGTGGCAGTGAATGATAGCGGGAAGCACTCATGAAATTAGAATAATGGGACAGTTTTCAAGTTATCTCAAATCAGCAGTTTTACAAGCACCCCACCAAAAGTACATAGCCTATAATGGAAAGCCCTTTATTTACATTACTGGAATCCTGCATTATTTTTGGCATGTTGGGATGCATCTTATCTTTCTCACCTCTTTTTCAGTTTAAAGACTTTTCACCTTTGTATGACCCTAATGATCAGAGATTTCAAGCCATCAGGAACTTCAGCTCCTTAGCACAGTATCTGCGCTGCAGGAAGTAGTACTTTGCCTTGAAAGATCTAGGGACTTTTGGTAGGCTGTTGTAAGGAGGAAGAAAAGGAAAAGGAACTAACATAAGAATGAGTTCTGTGGAAACAGCTCTAGAGGGAGTTTTCAGAGCCGAGATGTTCAGTTGTTATGGGCTTACTAACAAGAAATTCCATATGTGTGGAGTTCAGAAAAAGAGAAATCAACTAAGAGATGAAACCCATGCTGTGTGAAAAGGTGTGCTTTAGGAACTTCCCTGGTGTGAGCAATGGGTAGCTGGGAGAGTTAAGAGGTTTAGCTAACAAATGCTGGGGAATAACAGATAAGAGAATGAAACTGCCTCACTAATGCACTGCGCTGTTTTCTTTAGTGTTAAAAACAGCAGGAGAGAGCTGGTATTGCTCAGTGTTAGCAGTTCTTGTCTGATACACTCACGAGGGTTTTGTACATGTGAAGTACAGAAAAGAACACATGGATCTTTTCCATCAGATTTCTTTGTTGAACTGTGCTCCACTGCACTGTCCTCCTCTTGGACTTCCATATGCCTCAAGTTCAGCCGAAGTTACCAAGTGCTGTACTACTGTGAGCGTGGCTTTAGGCGTATGATCTTGGGTGATGACATGCAGGGATTGAGCCTGAAGTGACGTCCAGAGATGGCCAGCAAAGATGTTATGGTTTACTCCAGTTTTCCAATTAAATCAATTTTGTGACTGGGCCGATGGCAACATTAGAGTGATGTGGAAGTTACTGTAGTGTAAGTAGCTCAGTTGGCTTTTCATGTGATCTGTGTGATGCTGAACTTCTACCAAAACAGTTATTTAGAATAGTAAGCACTGCATTTAAAAGCTGCTTAAAAGAAGAAAGCGCTGGGTTTTGGTACCTAAAGAGTTACAGAATCTTTACTTACTGTGAGCATCTTAGCAAGAAGCAGCTTTCTGGGTTCATTTTAGTGATCTGTGACATGCCCTTGATACTTAAGACTCAGTTAAAGGTGATATGTGTGCCTTGCTCCTGTTTAAACAATGAGGAATTTATTGCTCTGTGACACATACCCAACAACAACCAAAAAGATATTAGTCCTGGAAAACGTGTGAGGACATAATTTGATTAGGAGTGACTAGTCTTTTGTTCAGAATAGCCAGCATATATCTAGCTCTTTTTAAATTACTTTTAATCTGAAATTTAGCTTTTGAGCAACAGTTTAAAAAAAAATGTAGTGTTTTTCCTCAAATTTCTGAACTGACAAAGCATCCATTAGAGAAAAAAAAAAAAAAAGAGGGATAAACTGGCCATGAGTCAAGACTTGGGGAACTAAATTGAGCATTAAAATAGATTTGTACCATCAGTCTCCTTAGACATGAGCATTGCCAGGCTTAATGAGAAAGTACTGAAGCAGAATGACGGTTTCTTATTAACTCGACAAGACTTGTCTAGCTATTTCCATGCTGCTTTCTCTTGCTCATTAATGATCTCCTACACTATAAAAAGAACAACTCAAACACTCTAAGCCCTTGGGAAGACCTTTTTATATGGTCTATCAGATGCTAAATGGCCTGCTAGCAGTGAAGAAACAACCCTGTGAAATGCTGATCAAATTTTTTCTTGTTCTTGTGCCTAGACAAAAAAAAAATTACAACTGATTAAATTGTCTATGGCAAGATAACAAATGCAGGTGACACACTAAGCCTGAGTCACTGATGTCTGCACTTCATTCCAACCAAATCCAAGTTGACTTCAAAGTAATGGAGTCACAGCTGTAAGTAGCTCAGAAAGAAGATAAAGCTGTCAAACTCTCCACTAACACCACTGTGAGTGAACTGCCTAGAAGGAAAATGTTTGTCATTGACCCATTATTCTAAAAAAGCAAGAAGTGTAGCAGGAAGGAAGTTAATATAACATGGATGTAAGTGATTGCTTCCTTCATGCGCTGGCTGGGTATCTCAAGGGGATAAATGAATTCCTTTGTTAGAATGTGAGCAGCTTCTTGCAGATGAAACAGAAAAGCAATTGCTGTCCAGGTCTGCTTTGTTAGTCTAGAGATTGCTGCTGCAATTGCTTCCTTTCAGCTGCGTGGAATTGCATAAATAATTCCTAGTAGTGACTGGCTGTGAGTGGCCAGGTTACCTGTTACAGAGCTGCTTCCTATGGTAGGGGAATTGGTAAATTGTGATTTTTTTTTGAGTGAGTTAACTTCCTTTTCATTGAGTCCAGCGGGTTCTACTCATCTGTTGGTTTGGGAGATGGCTGTAGGAGGAACAGCTTGTAATGCCTCAAGGATTAAAGAGGTAGAACTCAGCGCAATGGAACCTTCAAACATATGCTGTTTTTTTTGTTGTAAGGGTCCATTAGGCATTTGAAGCTCAGGAAATTTGCACTGAAAGCTGTTTTCTGAAAGACTTGCAGACTTTTTAGTGGTCTTCAGTGTTGTCCCAAATAGATCTGAATATGTAACAGTTTTCAAAGTGTGATGGAAATTGAATTTTGGCTTTGTTTTCAGTTTATCTGAATTGGGAATTGATAGGCATGAGGAGAGTTCCTACACTCGGGATCAGTGCAAGTCTATTGAATCTACAAGTGTCTAGGCACCTATGTAAAACCAAAATAAATGCCTGCTCAATTCCCTTTGGACTGAGATTAGTGATTTGGCATGATATGAAATCCCTATCCTCTAACCTGAAAAGCTTGCAGCTGTAACAGAAATAGTATTTAATAATAGACCAAGACTTGATTTCAATGGAAGCATTGTCTGAGTAGGGACATCAGAGCTTGATTCCAGAGCACCAATAAAAAAATATAATAAAATAGCCTTTTTTATTTATTGGGCACTCAGACTTGAAGACTCCCAGGTGCCTATTAGTCTAAGGGCTTGTCTATTCAGGAAAGTTAGTGTGCAGTAAGTTGGAATATGAATTTACAGTGCACCAATTCCTCTACGTTCCCCCTGTGCTTGAATATTCTTAGTGCACAGTAATGGTGCTTTTCTCTGTGGCAGCTCTCTCAGCTTTGAAAATAAAGTAAATCACATTTTACTTTTATGCCTGTGTGGTGAGTGAATGCTGAGTAGCCAGTGCTCTCCAAATCTGAACTCAAATTTGCTGCTAAGGGACTCGGATAATGTTCAGTAGAATCCTGCCATTGTGCAATAAGATAGGAATGATTCTGCTTGCTTTTCTAGAAAGGAAAGAAGTAGTGTGTATTTAAAAGTCCTTATGCCTCAGTCTTTGATACAACTTTGGGTATACAGGGGTTTAGGTGAGGGACTTTAGGTATAATTACATGTAGAGAGTCATTTTCTGTGATCTTTTACAACTGACCGTTGCTGAAAGAGCTTACCTGTTGCTTAGTCCGTTTTGCACAGGATGTCCTTGAGCTTGGCCAAAAGTGTCTGTGGCTGTTTAGTGAATCGCATGGACGTTTGCTAATATTTTCAACCAGTTTTAAGCCCAGATCCATTCAAACAAATGTTATCCTGACAAGAACATGGAGAACAGATAAAGGAGAGAAGGAAGGTGGATACTGCTGTGGAATGTTTGTTTTTGTGGCAGTGCTGAAGTTCACCTATGTATTTTAAACTAAACTAAGATGTAAGATGCTTGCACAATCCTCAGTTTGCTCAGAATTCTTGTTGTGAAAGTCTAGCACAAAGAAACCTGATTGCTGGGGAAAAAAAGGGTTGGTTGATTTTTTCCATCTTCATCTAGAAAGAAAACTGAAACTGACTTGCAAATTAACTGGTTGGGGGAAAAATGGAAGAGGAACAGCGTTGCTATTTCAATCTAGCTCATTCTTGATCTATTTGTGTAATCAAGTAATTTGCCTTACTAAGAACATTATTTTACCCTTGATGCTCTGAAAGTAGATCGCTCATAAAGGGTAGAAATTGATTGTGAATTTTACATATTTCATAGAGTTGATGTCACCTTGCTGTTCTGCATTGGGTACACGTGGTATCTCATAGCAATGCAGTAGAAAAACAAAATCTGACTTGGTATATTTAACTGCATTAATCCGTAGCTTTTAGAGATACCACCCTGACTTTGTGTCTATGAATTCAGAAACAGTGCTTCTGTTTCCTAGCAGAAAAATGAGGGAGGTTCTAGATCTCATAGGGCCCATGTACTCAACAAATGGTGTCACAGGAATTAATCTCATTTTTGTGTAACATACCTTTAACTATCTCATTTCCTGAGAAGGGTCTGCATTCTTTTCTGCTCTCCTGTGCAGTTAAAAAAAATACATTAATGCCAAAGTGAGTTATTGATATTTTTTTTTTCTTCTCAACTGAGTTGTTATGCATGTGAGAATTATTCTGCCTAATGTAGAACTAAAGGAGCCTGAAAGAAGCATTGCTGCTCATTTGTCATATTATGGTGTGTGGAGAGCAGATTCAGCAATGTGATGAGATGGCTGCGATGCTTGTGGGGATCTGCACCTAGATGTCACATGCTGTCCATTGCATAGCCCTCTCTGTAGGAAATCCATCATAATTCCAATGCCATGTGACTGCAGGAGGCAAAAGATAACTGGGCATCAGTCACAGTGAGTTGTTTTCCTGGGTGGCTGTGGTGAACCAGTGAGCATTAGCTATTGCTGGAGACTCTTTCTGGAGATGTCTGCAAACATATTTTTGCAGCTAAATCAGGGAGAAAAATAATATACATATTTCAGTCATGCTGGGAGAAGGCTCTCATCCAAGCTGAAATTTGCCTTGACAAACTTATGCAGTATATGGAGCTTGTCCCTGCTTGTGATATTTGCAAACCTGTGCTGAGCACTGATCTGACTGGGATGTACTCAAACTCATGATCTTCTTTGTTCTAACTGTGCTGAGGATTGTGTGGCTACAGTACAAGTAGGAATACTGGTGTTAGTGGAGTAAACCTTTCTTCTGTCCTAAGGTATTTGATCCCTTATGGAAATTCTGGGTATGGGAAGGGAAAGGCATTTTGACCTGAAGTGACTTCCACAAAGACCTAGAGAAACTGTTGGACTAGCTCTTATGAGCATCTTGGCTCCTGATCCTCTGCATAAGTCAGTAGACCATATGCATCTCTATTCATGCTGAATGAATTCTCAAATTGTGCTACATTTCCTCCTTTGAATAATAATCTTTAATTAAAAGGAAAATGAGAAAACAAGGTGATGACAGAGAGCACAGAGAAAACATTGAAAAGTGAAGAAAGAAATGTCTGGGAGTAACAACGTGCTGATGTTCCCATGTTAAGGAATCAAGAACTTTCTGACTGTCGTAGCAAAAATAGGGGATGCTGCAATATGCAGAGATCTGGGGACTGTGGGGTCAAGTCTGAAACTGAACAGTAGTGGTCTTGACGTTTATTCTCAGAAGATGCCTCCAGATGATTTCCTCTGCAAGGTGTGCAGTAGTCTCAAGAGAAACCTTTGTAGGTTTAAGCCTGTCATTAATTAAACTGATATCCTTCCTGTCTGGGCTGGCTAAGAGAACTTGAAGTTACTGAGACATTGATCTCAAAGAAAATAGACAATACTCACAGTTAGATCATTAGGTTTATCTGTGCCAAGATTTCATGAATGTGCCCTTACTGTGTCCTCTAGCTCCACTTCTGCTTTCCTTGTTGTCCAAGTACAGCTACCAGTGATTCCAATAGCTTTTATATAACTTTTTCCTTCAGAGCATGTTTTGTTACAACTGCGTTCACCTCCCCTGCTCCCTATTCTGTTTTCAGGTCAGTCATCTGTAGCAGATTCTATGTTCTGTCTGGTACATGCAACTAAGGACTGGCGATTGCAGGGAACGTGGTTTTAATTAGCTCTCCTCCTCTCCTCTGGTTGCTGAACGAAGGTGGAATTTTTTAATGGTGCTACTGCTGTGTATGCAAGCTGGAGTTCTGTTTTGTGGAATAAATTGAAACAAAAATGAAACTTCCTCTAGCAGACTTAATAGAACTGGTGAAAACATTTCATGTTTGTGTGAACAGTCATTTTTTACGTGTTGGTAGCAGTATATACAGCAAGTCAGGAAAATACTGCCCTTGCAGCTTGTCTGATTTCACTACTTTTTTTTGTTTTTACCAAGTTAATTGCTGATGCTTTTTGCAAATGGCTATGCAGTGATGGTACCTAAGTTGCCTTTTTGTTACCTCTGTAGGAGCTGGTTTCCTGAGAAATGTGAGAGCTTTTTCTTCTCCCTTTTTCTCAGTGGTATCAGTTCTCATGTTTAGCTGACCTTTGACTAAGTACCGTTTGCTACTTTGTCAGAATATATTCCTTTTTATTTTACATTTCTTTTTAATTTGAATTTTTATTTTATTTTATTTATTTTTGCAGAGCTAGCTTCTGACAAGGTGATCAAGCTACTGGACTCCTGGTGGAGTTAGGCAAATGTCAGGCGTGACATAAGGGACGCAGGGAGAGCATTGCATGTGGCAGGCAGGGGAAGATGGTAGTGTGGGACTGACTGCTTTGGCATGGTCGGATGTTTAGCCTGGCTTAATGAAGTGTGCTTGATGTATGTGAACGGGTGAGATTTCTCCCTCCCGTTTAGGAGAATTAATCCTTACCTTGGAAGCAAAGTGAAGAACATGACTAAAAACGGTACTGGGCCAAGAGGCAGCAGTAACTGAAACATCTAACCACTGGTTTCCTTTCTTGGGCTCTGGATGCCCCTGGAAGGTACCGGCATGGGAGAGAGCAACTCTCTGTGACTTCATGGGTGTTTTTAAGAGTAAAATGCATTGATGGTAATTGTTTGCTATATTTTTATTTTTTTTTTAACCTAAGCCCTTACTTTAAGCTCTTTAAATACGCTCTGGAAAAAGCTATCTCTAGTTTGAATATACCAACCTCTTATCTATACAACCCCCCAGAATCTCCCATCTCCAAGGTAGTGGGTTCCTGTAAAGATAAATTGCATCAGAGGCATGACCTTTATCCTTTGAGCTATTTAAATAGCTCAGATATCTATTGACTTTATGCCTTGTGATTTTAGTTGCTGAAAAGTGAGCACCAATGAAAGGAAGAGTTGACCTGGAGTGTATCGGATTGGTGATATCTTCATTTATAGAGCACTGCAAATACAGATGACATTTTTCTGACAAATTCTTCCCCCAAAACTACTGTATTGTAACTGGATTCATTTAAGGATTCAGTGCATCTATATAGAATCAAGCAAAAGAAAAGAGTAGTGTCTATTGTAAATGCTAAAGATATCTAGGATGACTGTGCAAGGAAAACAACTGGGAACCATCTTTGCCTGGGAATAAATGTTCCCTAATGGTTCTTCAGACTTCTCTTTATATATCTGAGTATTTCTGCATCTTTGTGGAAATTTTCAGTTGGAAGACAGAAACGGAGCCATAATTGATCAAGTCAGGAAGGTGTAATGCAGAGCACCATAGTCAGTACATTTAGTAAAGAAATGTGTTGGTGTTTGTCCCTTAAAGATCAGCAGGCTCAGCATTTACAGAAATACTGAACAAAGTAGATGGGACTCCATGTCATCTTTAGTTAAAAAATGCATACATTCACATGGAACTGTGCTCTGGAAGAATCTAATCAAAGCAGAACCCTGCTTTTATACATTAAAGAGCCGTGGAAAAAATACTTAACATCAGGCAGTGTGATACAATGCCTGCCTGAGTTTGGAGGCAGTGTGAAGCTATAATTTAAGAAGTTATTAACTCTCTCATCAGCACTGATATGTTAACTCTACATATTTAATAGGCATTTCAGTGATCAGCACTAAGTGGGGACTATGGGTCAGCACAAGGATTTCAGATGATGTATTCATTTCTTCGGACTTTTTCTCTGTGTGCGTATTAACTGCATGTTTAGATTATATAAAATGGTGATAGCACTGGGTTTTGTGTTGCTTTTTGCACTGAAATACATCCTGAAATGAAAGTGCTGAGTGTTTTTGTTCTGGTTGCAGATGCAACCCTGCAGTTATGTGATGGTGTTATATAATTGTGAGAGAATACTCAGTGCAGGAAGTGCCTTAGTCTTCTTTTCCAGTCCTCTAAATACCTTTCTAATTTTGTTTTTGTAGATTTGACTGCTATCTTGGACCTTGCTTCTGCAATAAGATCTGTAAGAGTAGACTTCTGTGTGGAAGTTTTGGTGTGTCCTTGACTGCAAGTTTCCTTGCACAAGGTCTGCAGTTTTGTTAGTCTCAGCATAGAGCAGATTGTTGGTATTAAAGTATATATATGCATAATCTTCCTAATGTATTTCAAACCAGCAATACTTCACTTTGGAAGTGAAACACTGGGGTACTGTCTGTGTGTGTCTATCATAATTCTGTGAACAAACTGATTTCTGCCTGTCTGCTCACGCCATTGCCTGGTCAGGACATGAATGGTGACAGAAGACCTGCCTGGTCTCTTAAACATAATCTCTTAAACTGTGTTTTATGCAGTTGCTCTTCAGTTTGGAAATGTTACCCAACCCACTAGATACTGAATAATTCAATAATCGGAGGTGTGTCTGTTCTGTCTTTTTGTTTGTTTTTTTTTTTTTTTTTACAACTGAAAGCTTCCCTTTTCTTGAGTTAGCAAGTTGTGCATGACAACACACTGCACATCATGCTCATGGAAATGGTAGTTGCAAAGATTACAACATTTATTAATGTCTCCATATTTGTAAAGTTCAGAGGCTTTCCTTTCCTCCAGACAGCTGCCTTCAGAGACTGCAGATTTTTATGTGTATATGGTCAGAAGAATATCTATGATTTATAACAAATGATACACAATACCTGAAATATTTTCAGAAGTAGCTCTCATAACTGCAAATATTAAACTTTAGCTGCCCAATGTAGTAGACTGGTTTCATAGCCAGTCCTTTTCTTGGCTTTGGATTGTGGTGTAATGTCAGCTGCATTTCTCTAGAAGTGAAGAGATCCTATCTATAATTTGCTTTTGTTGCTCAGGTTTTATTTACAGTGTTTACAAACAGTTTACAGTTATTTACAAACAGTGTTTGTAAAGTGCTTTGAATGAAGTGCCATAGAACTTCATATTCTTATGAAATCTGTTCCTTCCTGTGATGATACTGAGTTTGTGTAATCTGGAGGAGCTGCACAGCAGTAAACCAGCCATGTGGCATTTGATCCTGTGAAACCCTGAAGAGCTAGAAGTGGACTGGAGTTTCTGTGGTGTTCTGCATTATGACTTTTGCTCTAAGGCTCCACTTTAACATTAGTGTGGTAGGTCTCCACAAATAGTGGAAATCTGGAAGCAGTAGATTTCTGATAGTGTTGAAAGGTCTCATGGGTGGCTACAGAGATGCAGGTGATGGAGAGTATTCGGCTTGCATGCTAAGCCAAGGACCCAAATAAAACTTCGGGGCCTTTTGCCTTGTTGTACTGCATGCACAGTCTATCCTTCTGATATTTAACCATCCTACTTCTTGATCCCACTTTTCCTTGTGAAACTTTTCCAAGATGCTTTTTCTTACCAGTTATTTCCACAGATTGTTTCCAAAGTTTTATCCTGGGTTAATGTAAACTCTCCCTACTCAAAAAGGTAATGTGTCTATTCTGTATTTTTAAAAGTACCGTGTACATTTGTGATACTGTAAAATAATTAGCTTCAATAACATAGGAGCTCATTAGGGTTACAGATTTTAGGTGTTATGATTACATTGTGATGGGATGCAACTTGTGAAAAAGTACCTATCCTGCTAGCTGTTGCTTACATTTAACAATCTCCACTATCTATTATGGTATACTATAGAAGCTCGCTTGTAAATCGCTGCACAGTTTGGGTGCACAGACTGCCTGGCAGGCTTTGTGTAAATCTGACCTAAGGCTGGCACGGTGTGATTGGTGAAGATCAGGGCTGAGCTGGATTGGCACAGAGGTGTGGGAAGCTCACGTAATGCAAGTTGTAGCTGGTGGTATTGGTGCTTCACTTTTTATGAACAAGGAGCTTAACTTTGCTGCCAGCCTGGCAACTTCCCACCAGGATAATGTAACGCAGCTGCAAGGTTGTTTTGGCTCTGTGCTAACTTTTTCCCATACCTTTTTTATAGTCTATCTACTGCCTTTCCTCGTTCAGTCATAAAAGCTTCTAACATTTGCTCTACTTTTAAGAGCTAGTAAGGGCATGGCAGTTGATAAGAGGCAACACCCTTCCATAAAACTGCACTTTTCAGCACTGAAATATGCTGCCTTTTTGTTAATGTCAAGAACTGATTCTAGAGTTATGAGTTTTTGGTTTGGTTGGTCTTACTTTTTGGCAAGCCATCCCTCATACCATTGCAGTGGTTAAGCTGCAGTTTGTATTTCTGTGACTACTTAAAGCTGGACTGAAACTTTTGCAATGAAATAGCCTATCTTGAATCTTGGTCTATTCAAAGGGATACAAAAAGGTCTGCAACATCTCTTGAAAGACAAGAAAGGCTTCTTCAGGTTCTTGCTCCTGCCATGTTCATCAAATCAAGGCCTAGGCTGACTCTTTAGAGACTAGATGTGTAGCTGTGAATGCTGGGCTTGAAATGGTTGTCACAACTGCTTTGTAACAAAAGTAATTATTGATGTCATAATTCATGTATCAGTTAAGGCAAATTGAGATGTATTTTAATCTGAAAGAGACTCATTTTCTCTTTATGACTCAGATTTCCGATTCTCAAATAACAGTACTGTGAAGAATTTGAAAATATTATAAGCTCCTTCCTTCCATATCTCCTAACCTAGAAGGACTAATACAGCTTTTCAAATCAGAACAAAGCCTTTCAAGGGCAATGAGGAAAACATTCGAATAAACGTAAATCAAAGCTAGCAGCTAGCTGCACTCAGCCTTTGGCTACATCCTCCTTGCTTGGAACCTGCAACAAAATCCTCCCAACCCATTCTTCCTTGTATGATGTTTTGTTTCTTTTTCCTGGATTTTGATCTTTAAATGAAAAACTAAATTGTTTTGAATTCTTGGGAGGGAAGCACAAATATGGATGAGTGTAAGCCGATTCAGTAACAAATGTTTATGTCAGCAAAGGTAGAAACAGTAGGCCAGGGTGACAAAAACTGCTCTTTCCTTCTGCTTAATTAATTCCTTACTGTTTTATGTCATGTGGGCCAAGGTGCAAATTTCTAAGAATCTGAACTAACCTCTGAGGGAAAGGAGAGGGGCTGATTTTGTGTTTAATTACCCTTTTTCTTAGTAAGGCAGTGACTATTTCAGCAGTAGTTAATAAGATCGGCTCTCCTCTAGGGCCAAAATGGTAATTTGCTCTTCTAATGGCCTTTGTCTGTCCTGCTCTGCGAAATGTGGAATAGGAAGGCAGCAAGAGGTTAACAAATAGTGTGTATTGCAAATGAGCGGTCAGTGCCGTGCTGGGGGAGGGGAGTGCCAGGGTGCCTCCCCAGCATGTAAAGGCAGATGTCTGCAGGATACTTTGGGTTCCTGAGATATTTTTATGAATGAAAGGTACTTATGGCAGGAATGCATGCCGAAATAGGCAGTACTAATGGAGTGTCTCTACCACCTCCTTATCTTTTCCAGTAAATCTGCCTCTGAAGATAAATGTTTAATAACATTCCTATTTGGTTGCACTTGTTAAAGGTAGTTGAACTAATGACCCGTGATCCAATAGATCCATTTGTAGTGAATAGCACTGAGGGTTCAATCCTATGTTGCTGATTGAGCAAGATGTCTGCTTAATTTATTGCGTTTCACTTTTGCAGCTCTTGCTCACTGCTCAAACCCAGTGATTTACTTAGCATTGAATGTAGCCCACCTTCCAGTTTTTCAGCTACAGAAGGGCAACGATTTGCTCGTATATATTAAATAATAAAACAATCCCACTGCCCTTGGGAGTGAGTAGGTGTGGGAGTGTGAGACAGAAGTTTGAATCATTGCTTCGTTGTGATTTGGTCAGGTAACAGACCTGTGGCAGTAGCTGAGTACACAGACTTTTGCTGCAAGTACCTGTGAATGCGTCTGACATTTCCTTTGGTCGGTAATACTCCTGCACTCAAATAGCTTTTTCCTGCAGACATTACAGAAAGGTGGAAATGTAGCTAAAGTAAATTTGTCTCACACTTCAAACAAATACCTGTGGAATTCTTTCTATTCTGGAAATGAAGTGCTCCTAATCACTTCAATGAGAATCCGTCTGGTTTAAGGAATGCGGTATCCTGACCTAAGACCCCTCATAGCACTTATGTAATGAGACCCACTGAACCATGTGGGACTACTTAACCACATGAGTAATTTTATGGACGTTTGTGCAACATGCAAGTCCACGACAGTGATTTTGACTGCAGTCACTGATTTTTGATTGCAAAAGAACAGACTTAAGAATTAGGCTTGAGTGATGAAGACTCCAGTTCTATTTTCCTGCCATTGCATCAGGGACGGTCTCCTTTGTAATCTACCTCCTGGCAGACAACAACTGTTTTGTTGTCTGCTTTCATAAATCCTGAGAATTCTTCCAGTAGCTATTTACTCACCATTTTTTGTTAGATTGAAATGACTGACTGGCCTACATTCCAGGAACTTCCTGCAATAAAAATTAAATGTATAAATAAATAAGCCCCCTCCTCTTCTGCTGTCACTCAATTATTTGCTTTGTTAGAAGGTCCTGCAGTTCAGAGTAATGATAATTAAAGTGGGTGGAATGGTGTGGGGAAAGAAAGAACTGCTTTTGCTAGATGCGTTTCTTAACGCTTTTTTTCAAGCACTGCTCACATATTTGCAGTGTTTTACTGACAAGTTAGATATGAGGCTTTCTTGTTTGCATCTCTTTATAAGAGGAATATGTTGGATATGGAATTCTCATACTTGTCAGTTTATGCTCTCGTGTTTTGGAACCCTTTCCAGTAATGCTTTATTGAGGACCCAAACTTAACAGTGTAATAGGAGCAATCTTCCCACTGTCACTAAGCAGCCTTTAATTTAGTAATTCAGGAGGCTAAGTGATGTTCCAGGGAAGGAAAGAGCAGAACAGCGAGAGCAAAATATTCCTTTCTTAGCCTGATAATTTTGTCCTATAATATGACAATGGCTAGTATATTGGAAGATCTGCTACAGAACTGAAGTAATTTATAATGTAAGTGAAGTAATTTAAAATGAAGTAATTTATATGCTTGATTCCCAAAGCTTCATTTTATACATCTCTGTGCAAAATATATGTATACACACAAAAACATACGTAACTGTAAGCATGTAAAGCAAGCCCAAGACAGAGAAGTCAAGTAGCCTAAACAGCAAATATTGATGCTCTGTCTCCTTTTTAACATCCACGATAAAGTTGTTTTTTTTTTTTCCATCTTCAGACTTTATCTAGGATTACGCAGATGTCCCAGTGCAAGCATTCCTATTTAAAGCTATCCCTGAACCTCTTTTATCCTGCCTGGCCTTCTTAATTTCTGTTAAATCTGGCTAGGTGCTAATCCACAAGTTTTATTAAGAAAAAAAAACAAAAGCCACCACCCTGCTTTCTCAGATGAGACTCAGTGGTTATTGCATGTGTCTTCAGGGCTGTCCATTACAAGTTCACTAAGAATTTCACCTTCTCCAGAATTACAAGACATGGCTTAATCTGTACAGACTGCAAAGGGGAGTATCAGGAAGAAGGAAAAAAATAAAGCTCCCCATTTCAGCATGGGAAAACTTGTAGGGAGAACCGTGTCTTTTACTAGACTGGCTGAAATAACTGCGAGGAGGCAGAACAGATAAGCTTTGGGGCCTCCAAGCTCTTCTCCATGTCTGCTAATTCCCCACCCTCTCATTGCAATATATATTTACGTTTTCTCATAAATGTTTTGTGTATTACTTCATAGCAAATTTTATAAGGAGAGATATGGCTTATTACTAGTTTCTTAAGTCAAAGAAGTTTCATGTGAATATCTGTGAACACTGACTCTAGTTTCAAAAAGTAATTCAGAGTCTCCCATAATGAAATTGAGCAGGTCTTAATCAGGTTCTTGTATAGTTCGTCCATGTCTCTAATTTAGAGTTTTATTAGTATTATTATTGTTCTAAAAAGCAATCTAGACTGACAGCCCTGGAAACAGAAATTTCATCTGTTTGTTTTTTTTTTTCTAGAAAGGTGATAGCATAGCTAATTTCTGGCACACACACAGTATTATGCAAATAATACCTGAGGACAGGATGGGGCTCCATGTAAGTCTTAGCCTGCTTTATTGAAGCAGCTGCAGAGACAACTGATGATATGCTTGAGGATGAGACTGGTCAAGACCTGACTAACTTCTCACTGATGGAATAAAAACTGTGCAGCAGAACTCTACTGGAGATTGGCTCCTTGTCTCCTGTGTATGCAGGCAATGTGGGGGAGGGGTAAATAGGGTGTGTCTTGTATGTTTCTGCATTGGGAGACAACCAGAAGATCTGGTTATCAGCTGAGAAAAAGCAGCTGTCTCCAGCTGATTCCTGTTAGTGGCTGCCTGAGTGTACTTAGACAGACAGTCTCCATAGTTAAAATACTGGCTGTGAATACCAGCTGCACCAAGAGCAGGGTCACAGTCACAAGCTCCCCTGGAAATGACTGAAAGCTCTCGATGGCCAATCTTAATGTGACATTCCATGGTCCAGAGCATGCCCTTACCCTTTTCATCTGAGACTTCCTTAGATCTCAAATTCTTGCATAACCTCATTCGTTGCATCTTTTGTGATAATCTTCAAGTGCTGCTATGAAATCCAAGAATAACTTGTGAACTTTGTGTGTGGTTTTAGTTTCTTACTAATGAGCAGCTCCCCATAGCCTCTCAGACTTCCAGAAGGAGACGGTGTAGCTTTTTAATTCTAAGTAGGATTGTATACGTTGTTTCTTTATAATGTGAAATTAAAATAACATCAGTTATCATTTTGTGTCTTTTCAAGTGCCTATAACTGTTCTGCAGTCTGCCAACATGAATGAGAAATGCAAAGTGATCGTATAAGAAGTCCGTTCTAATTACAAGCATATTTTTATCCATAAGGAGGACTGCTCTAGTCACCTTGAGATTTCCCTCCGGAGAATGGCTGCTAAAAATTTCATGTGCTTTTGCTCTAAAATACTGGAGGGCCCTGTAGCTGATTGTCCTATAACAATAAATATAAAGACTGTCTTGTAAACCAGTAGCATTTATTTAAATAAGTGAGCAATTTGGTATCTGTGACCTGATGACTTTTACTTGTTTTTTAAAAATCTTCTTAAATCCTCTGTGAATCTCTTGGCTAAAATGAAAAGGTGAAAAAAAGAAAAAAAAAAAAAAAAAAAAAAAAAAAAAAAAAAAAAAAGAAACAAGTGAAACTGCTGTTTTTCAATACAGTCTGTTTCTGAAAACTGAAAATATATAAATGAAAATGAAAACACTTTCTTTTCCTGCTTGGAAGAAAATCTTTACTTGGGCTGACTGACTTGCAGGGCAGTTGCTTTTTAAACTGTTGACTCCAGTCTGATACTCCCTGTAAAATGTGTTGGAATTTTTTTTCCAGTTAAAATTGACATGTATGTTACTTGTCTTCATTGCTATTTTTTTTTTAATATATATTTTGTCATTAAAAAAGCAGATTCCTTTCTGCCTTCACTTCTGTATGATTACTCAACTATAAGCAGATCATTCCAAGCATGGAATCACTGTCTTAGGGATGGATCTGATCCTAAATAAGCAGATGAAGGCAGGAAGTACTATCTGTCCACTCTTTGTAACTTCTAACGCATGATATTGAAGACTCTTCAGGGTTGGGACCATCGCAGGAAAGGTTTTTTCATTTTCGCAAATGGCAATCTTGTTTTTGCAGATGAGTTTGAGTCCTGAAGGAGCTGAGTGACCTCTTCCTACAGAGAAACTGCCATCTCACCTTCCGTGCAGCACTGGACATCTGGCTGTAGGCTGATGTGACTGAGATCTGCAGGCAAACATACCGAAAGGTAACATGCGATAACGTGAATGTCTCACCTTAGGGCTGGGGAGGATGGGATAATACACGCACTAAGTGAGAGAGCCCACTTCAGTTTGACACTTCTCTGGAGGGGAGGTGAAAGAGGAGGGAGATCACACAAGAGTGGGCACTTGTTTGCAAAGAAAAAATCTGCTTAGATGAAGCAAGAACGCTGAATGACAGAAGTGTCATTGAGAGATGCAGTATCGTCCTGGGGTCCAAACACTAATAAAGCTATCTATGTAGCCTGAACAGAGTATGTGCAAAATGGATTGTTAACATGTATTGTTAAGAGAACTCACCAGAGACACAGCTGTAAGAGCTGAATTATTTCAGTCCCACAGGTAAGTGAATATTGGCTAGGGCTAATGTTGCTCAAAAAAGAGCATTTCAAAGAAGAACTGATGCATTAGCTGGTGTTAAAATGCCTCCCATGGGCTTCCTGGATTGAACTTTCCTGCACTAGTGGCGGTTTTCCTGTGAAGTTCATGGTGACCAGCAGTTTGCACTGGGGGCTGAAATTCAAGATATCTACGTTCTGGTGAACTATCTTAAAGCAGTGCTCACAGGTTTTGGATGGTCTTTGTTTGCAGTGCTTGTGGTAACTTGGAGTAAAAGGGGTGTGCTGAGTTGGTAGTAAGTACTACTTATTAGTAGTACTTACTAGCAAAGTAATTTTCTTGCTCTCCGCAAATGGTCATTATCACTTTGATTTAAAGAATAAGTTATTTGATGAGAAAATAAGCATTTAAATTTTGTCTTATATGTCTTCTAGCCGTTCCTGACCTCTAATGTTTCCTTTTTGTGTTTTTAGTGAGAATACTTGTGTTTTTTTAATAATTGTGCTCAAAAGGATTGAAGGAATGAGATAGTGTGTTAAACTGGGAACATAGGAACATTTGTGGAAAACGTGTTAATTGTTGATTGCAGAGTTCCAGTTTTGGATTAGATGCGTGTTTTTTTTATGTGTAAGATACAGTTTTTCTATTATTAGTGCGTTCCATGTTTTTTTCTATGGAAAATTCATCAACTTTACTTTAAGCCTTTGAGAAATTTCTGTTTACGTTGTCCAGTGAAGTTTGCAAAGGACAGTTGGAGAAAATCCATTTTTTTCCTATCTGTTTGGTTTTAATGTTTTTCTCAGGGTTGTTTCTCTCAGAAAGATACTGCACCAAGCCTCGCTGTCGCTAGGAATGTGCACATGGAACTTGAACATAACTACATTAAGCTGTACCTTACACAAAGATGTCTTAGCAAGTGGTCAGAGAACGTATTTTGCTTTTCCTCTTCCCTTTCAAAACATCAAAAGTCTAATACAATTCAATTCCATAGCAGTCCATAGTAGTTTTCCTACTTGGGATTACATCCCAGTAGTTCAATAAGGTACACCCTCTTGTAGTTTATTGCTATGGTTTTAAAATATTTTGGTAATTTTAGGAAACTTTAACTTCTGTGTCTGGATATCCAGCAAAGATGTGTCTTCTTGATTGTGGCAGTGAGCATGCTGCAGCACTAATGCTGTGTGCAAAATAATGTTCCTTATTAATAATCTTAATAAAAGTCAACCAGTGTTCAGTAATAATTCCAAATACTTTAAAAGCTAGCAGAGGCATTACTTCAGCAAACAAGCATTGCTGAAGGTTTATTTTTAGAATAAATAACTGTACAGTTACAACTCAAATGCTTTTAAAATGTCTGCATATGATGTTTCTTAATGAGGGGGATATGTTTAACACTGCTAGAATATTTTCCCAGTTCACATGAGAGAATTATTTAAAACCTTACCTTGTCTCTTGCTAAAATGAAGGGTTTTCACAGGTGTTGTGCTGCATAAGTATTGCTGGGAGGGCTTTTATTTCTTATGTATTTTTAGACTATCTTTATAAAACTGTATTACAGAAATAGCAAGTTTTAACTTGGAACATAATGTATTACAACCAAATATTTATATCTTGATCTGAAATCATTTTTGCTCCTACACTGGGTATTGACTGCATTGCTGCATCAGTAGCCACTAGCTGTATTGGGTGGCACTGAATTCTGTTTGCTTGCTGTTTACTCGTAAGAGCAAAAAGCTCTCTGAGATGCAAGTTCTATTTTTTGTTGCTTGTGTTTGTCACTAGCGGACATTGCTTTGCGTACGTGATGACCCTTCCTTGAAATAAGACTTACTCCTTTCCCATAAACCAGCTCACTGTTTAATGTTTTTGGAAGCTGCATAACTTGTCTCTCAGAAGATGATTCACAGTGACTAGCTGAGGTGCATAGCAGAAAGAGCCGAGCAGATTATAAACCAGCTGCTGCCTCCTTTAAGGCTTGCTGCAGAGGAAGGGGAGGAATAGTTTACAGCTGGCAAATTCCAGAGCAGTTTTGACAGTCATTAATGTATAGTGTCCCCAGTCTCTCAATAGTTGTGATCTTTTTTTTGCTCAGTTATTTCAGCAAGCACTGATGAATGTCAGTGAGAACCATTTTTTCTACATGGAAGAATTCAGGACAAGTGAGCTTGCTATGCAGGCATTAGTAGAAGTGCCTGTATGAGCAGGGATTCTGTCTCAGTAAGAAAAATGTTGACTTCGGTCCTATCCATTTATTTTTTAAGGCAGCCTAAAATTTAAGAGCTATTAAAAAAATAATCTTTGGATTGATAGTTTTTATCTTCACCTGGACTAAAGTGAAGTGAACAGGAATGTCTATGTTATGTAAAGACTCCATGAATGACAGGTGAACAGGATCAGGAACTGTGATGAGGCTGCCTGCTATAACAGGCTGGAAACCTTAAAACCAAGCAGCATTGGCAATTTCTATCATCAGAGCAGAAACACTTTTAAAGAGGCTACTCAAATGCTTTGAACCATTTAAAGTAATTGTTTCTATTTTCACCTGGTAATTCGGAGAACAATGAGGCTGAAAAGCACTGGATGATCTGTAGCACATATGGAAATCCAGCTTGTTATGTGTTTTTGGATGCACTGGTTTTCTCTGGGATTTGATTTGGGACTTTTTTGACGTGAGCTGCAAGGCCTACCAAAATGCTGTTCTGCATCGTAGCTTGAGCGCTCAGCTCACATATAGGATATTTTCATCTACAATGCATAGGAATGCAGCTTCTGAATATACATACAAATAAAAGTAGTTTACAAGACAGGATCTCTCATTTGAATTTTCAGTGCCTTTCTCTCTTCTCTAAACATCCTGTATGAACACACAGGAGGTTTTTTATTTTGAGATAGGAGCGGTTTCTGCAGTGGGTACTGACAGACCATTGCTTTTGGATGTGACCTGGCATCCAGTTGCTGATTGACAAAAGCATGTATTTTGCGGGTCTGTAACAAAACGACTGCCTGCCGCAGGGAATATGGT